AGCATCCTCTCACTGGCTCTGCGCAGGGTTGCGTGCCACCTCCTGGGCCGCCGACCCTCCGGTTCCCGGATGGGCAGACGCAGGGCCTCCCGAGGGCGGCCAAGTCCCTCCACTCCAGGCAGCCGAGCTGGGCAGAGCGGCCACGCCGGCCTGGAGCCCGGGGCAAGTCCAGGTGGGCCCCCGCCGGAGGGGCGGCTGCGTGTCGCTCCCGCCGCAGGCCAGACCACGCCTGGGGAAGCAGGCTGGCTCTGTGGCAGTGGGGCTGCCCCCTGCTCCCGCTGGCGGCTGATGCTTGCCCCCGAACCGCGAGGCCGGGCCCTGGAATGCCCCCAGAGGACGTGCGGCGGCACCCAGGCGGGCCAAGCGCCCCGGTCCGGGTCCGGGCCCGGGCGCAGGCAGCCCCTCCAAGTGTCTCAGCCGCGTGGGCACAGAGCTTCTGCTCATTCGGGGCCAGTGCGCGCCCCTCTGCGCAGGTGGCCCCATAGCCTAGCACAGGGGGCCCTCCAAGCCGGACAGTGGGAGAGAAAGGCCCCCCGCCTTGCAAGGGCTCCATCTGGACCACTCCCCAAGAACCAGAGCCGCCCGCAAGTTCTGAAAAGTCCCATGAAGGAACCGGCAAGAACTCGGAGGGCGGGACTGGGACCGGGACCGAGGGGCTCACAGCCTGGGGATGGTGGGAACTGCAGTCCACCACACTCGGGGGGTGCCAAGCTGGGGGAGTCTGTCTGGAAGCCCCACCAGGAAAGGGGCTGGGAGCTCAGCACGGCCCCCCATGTCCCCCGCTGCGCAACCGTCCGGCACTGCCCAGCCCAGCCCAGCCCTGGACACGCACCCAAACGCGAGCTGACGCTGCAAAGGCCTGGCGAGAAGCAAAGGATGGCTGGTGACCGGTGAGGCGGGCGCGAAGCGACGGGGCTGGCGAGATGCGCAGGGCAGAGCCGGGCCCTCGCAGGAGCCGTTCCCACCTGAGCGGGCACCCCAGGCGCTCTCTTCCGCCAGCCCCGCCGGGGAAATCGCCCCCTCCCTTTTCTCCCGGGTGACGGCTCCGGGGGGGGGGGGCCCTGAGCGCCCCCCTTCCTTGCCGTGGGGCACGCGCGCCCCCTAGTGCCGCAAGGGGGCCACCGTCGCCGGGAAGGGCGCTCCTGCCGCCCTGGGACGCCCGTCAGCCGGCTTCCTCCGAGGCACGCCGCCCTTTGATCCCCCCACGGTCCTTGCGGTGGGGGAGGCGGGGAGGGGGCTGGCCTGGCTTCAGGGCTGAGCGAGGTCACCAACAAGGAACCTGCAGTCCTGGCGTCCGGCCCTAGCAGGGCTTCTGGTTGGCGTGGAACAGAAAGGAAAGGAATAATGGTGATCATACGCAAAGCAACATCCACCCCACCCCGCCCTGATGGACGGAAAGCCCCCAGCACGGGGGTGGTGCGAAACAGGCACGTGGATCCCCCGAGGATGCTGGGACCGGTGCAAGGACAGGGTCAAGGCCAAGCCCCCCCTCCGCCTGGCCCCAGCGCACCTTGCGCAGGCGTGTCGCCTCCCGCTGTCCCCGCAGCACGCCCTGCTCTGAGGGTGGCACCTGGGGGCCCGCCGGCTGTTGGGGTCTGCAAGGCCATCTGCCCAGCCGGCGTGGTCAGCGGGCGGGGCTGGCGAAAGGCACGGGCCAGAAGGCTTGGAGGGCCCCCCCGGCCGTCCCGCTTCTTGGCCCGCCTTCCGAAGGAGGGGCGCCCTTGGAAAGAGATCCGGAGGCTTTGCTTGCAGCCACAGTGGAGGACTTCGCACGGCCTCCCCAAAAGTTCGGGCACGCTGGACTCCCAGAATCTGAGCAGCCCCGGAGGGTCGGGGAGGCTGGGTACACACAGCCCCTAGCCCAATCCTGGGCCCAGCGGCCTGACGGCAGGCAGGTGACCGGGAAGGGGCCATCGGCCCTTGGCCAAGCCCGTGGCCCCAGGCGCCTCCACGCGTCCCCCTGGAAAAGAACCGGGTAGCAAGGGACGCAGGAGCCCCGTCGGAGAGGCTGGGGACCTGGCCCCGCAAGCGCACCACTCGGCAGCCCGGGGGGCAGTTGCGCGGGGGGAGCTGTGCTCTGGCCATCTGGCAACCACAACAGAAACCACAGAGCCACAGAGTGGCCGTGGCCAGTTGATTTCACAGAATCACAGAATAGTAGTAGAGCTGGAAGGGGCCAGGAAGGCCATCGGGTCCACCCCCTGCTCTTGCAGGGCACCAGGTCACACCATCCCACTCAGAGGGCTGGCCAGTTTCTTTTTGAATCCCTCCAGTGTGGGAGAGCCCCCCTTCCCCACCTCCCCAGGCAGCTGGTCCCACTGTCGCATTGCTCTGGCCGTGAGGAAGCATTTCTTGATATCTAGCCTGAATCTGGGCTGTCCCAGCTTGAGTTGATTATTCTGTGTCTTACACTCTGGAATCAACAAGAGGATGTCACCACCTTGCGACAGCCTTTGAGGGATTTTTTTAGAATTTAAAAAGGGATTTAAAAGCCAAGAGGGTGCTTCTTCCCTTGATAAAAGATATAGTAGATAGTTGGAAAGTCCATGGTTAAAAGGCTGGAAATCGCAGGCCTTGCTTCAGGCTAACCTTACTTACCTTGTAAAGTTCAGCCTAGGTTTGCTGCTTTTTTTTTTTTAACCCTAAATAAAGCAAGTTTCAGGGTGACTCTCTTCTTGCATTTTCCTGATTACTTCTGGAAGAGCTCCAAATTTTTAAATGCTTGCGCATTAATCCAAAGAGGCCTTTGGAGGCACCAGACGGCTGGTGAAGTGGAGCCGACTGCGCATGCCGGCAGCGGCTTCCGCGCCCTCGCCGGGCACCCGCCTCGCTTGCCTTGCCGTCCGGCGCCCTCTGCTGGCCGCGTCCGGGAGCGAGCGGGCCTCGGCCTCCGTTCAACAGAGGACGTCCTGCTGAAGGGCCCCCTCTTCCAACGGGGCTGGGGGGCTGACCAGGACACTGGCTAGAATGCGCATTTAGCTGAAAATGAAACAGCCCGTTTCGAATCTGATTTTACACCATCTGTGCGTGTGCAGTGCAGGGGAACTGGAGGGCTATTTATAAATACCTGCGTGTGTTTTGCAGAAATATGGCGATGATGTGGTGCTTGGGCACGGTCATGAGGCCCTCCCTAAACGGTGAAGAACTGATGGCGGAAGCTTTCTCTGTTTGGCGCCCGCTACATATACTGGGCTGCAGCTCCCACGGTTCTCCGCCAAGATGGTCGTTCTGGAGCTGCAGGCTAAGACACCTGGAGGGCACCTGGCGGTGGAAGGCCGGAATCGGATCTGGCCATCCTGCCCCTCAGAGGGACCCTGGGAGAAGAGCTGCCACCTGCCATGTGCAGGTGTGGGGGCACCTTTGTCCAGGATGGCTTGCAGGCGGCAGGTTTCAGGTGAAAGCGGGACAGGCAGGGGCTGCTTGGAAGCAAAGCTGTTCTTGCCCAAACCATTTTCGAAGGGAGAGAATTCCGCCTGGTAGGCTGCACTGGATAGCAAAACCTTCTGCCTGACCAACCCACGGCTCAGAGAAGCCTGCAGAAAGCACCCCCCCCCCAAACATGCTGGGGACAATGCAGAGCTTAGTGTTTCGCACCGCCAATGTCTGCAAACACTGGCAGTGCTTCCCAGGCCTCGCTGCAGCAATCCTTGTGACAACCTGGCCATGGGGGTCCCTGTCACCACAACTGCGGGCTTGGGGAGGGCCGCGGAGGGCGTGCAGAGGCGCACTCGTTTGACGGCCTGACTGCCGGCTCAGTCACTGAGCAGAGTGTGGAGCTGGGGGACCTCCATCCCCGAGCGAGACCCCCTTTCCTGCAATCCCTCACCAAATTCCCTGCCTGCTCTGCGGGGAAGGTGGGGGCCCAGCTCCCCCCACGGAAGCCTCCCGAAAGGAGCGTGAGCGCTGGGGAAGGCAGGGGACCCAAGGGGGACCCAGAAGGGCCAGAGGTGCAGCCTCTGCCGCTTTTGCTTTCACGCCTTCGGACTTTGCCTGACCGCCGTGCGGGGATCGACCCTACAAGAGGGCGCCTGCAGGTGTGAAGGCAGCCGCCCTCTCGCAGGATGGGCAGCCTGTCGCCACGGGAAGGACTCAGTCCCGGAAGCATGGCAAGGCGGCTCGGGGGACACAAGTCACTGGAGACCCAGATGGGGTGAAAGGGGCAGGGTCACAAGGCTGGAGGGCCCGAAGCGCCGTCCCCCAGGAACTGGCCCCTTCCGAGGCGGGGCTGCCAAGAGTGGGGGTGCGGGGCCAGCTCTGCGCTGAGGGCGGGGGCGGGAGGGCGCTCTGCAAGCCGCAGCCCAGGCGGCCGTGACAAGGCCCTGTGCCCGGGTTGCCACACGACGGGGGAGCCAGCTCTGCCATCGCCAGAATGCAGGACTGGGGCACATTTGGCACGAAGCCACCAAGCCCCCCCCCCCCCCCCCCCCCCCCCCCCCCGCTGGCTTCCAGGCGCTGCGGCTCCCGTGGCGAAACGCAGCAGACGAGCCGGGGTGGCACCGCGCCGCAAGGCTTCCCGCCGTCCCGCGGCCGGAGGCTCCACCGCGGCCATGCGGGCCCCTTCCGGTTCTGCGCTTCGCTTGCCGGCCACGCGGGGGCGGCGCCTGGCCGGCCTCCTCCCCGGGGCGGGCGGCACGCAGCCCGGCCCCCTTCCCGGCGGCGGCGGCAGCGGCGGCGCGCCATGGCCG